GGGGCTTGCTTTCATCCTTTGATACTATTTCACACACAGTGCAGGATTTTGTCTCTGAACTACAGGATCAGACAGCTTTCTCAGTGAACTCCAACCCTGTCATGCTGTGGCTGACCTCTTTATATCTTCACATCTTCTCTCCTCCCCTCTACCCTGCCCCAACTTGTCTCTAGTACTTGCTCTCTCCTCCACCATCACTAGACCTGCCGCCCTGCCATTCCCCACCCCGAAGGCCCCCCGTCTAGAGGCAGCACTCACGGAGCCCAACAACTCTTCAGTGCAGTGGAAGCCCAAGGGGTTTCTTGCTAGTTGTGACCCTTGGATTCTCAAAAGAAGCATCAGCCCTCGGGTTTGCACCTGGTCAATAACGCCAGACAAATCCTGGGATTCTTTGATTAAACTGGCCAAAGAACCAGGAGACTACACAAACAAATGTGGCAAACTTGAAAACAAACAAGCCTGATTCTATTATGCAGATATGTAAAAATACCCAGGTGTTATCTGCCTACTGCCACACCCACCCTCAGCCTCTGCAGGACTCTTCCCAACTGTGCAGCGTCTACAAACGCATCAGCCAGACTGTGAAGGTGAGAGTTAGAACAGAACACAGAGCACTCTTCTTCCCATGTTTTCACTAAGAGAAAGAGGAGAGAGGAGCTGGGCTTTATCTTTAAAGAGGATCCGCACTGCCACCTGACTTCCAACCCCGCAAGTCAGGGCCCTGGGTGTTCCCCAAGAGAGACTTTGCCTAGATTCAAAGCCATGCATTTTGCCTGGGGCGCTTAACATTAGCCTGTTCTCTGTGCTTGGACTTCTTCAGTTCTTCTCATATAGACTTCTCCAGAGGCCCAGGGCCCCATGAGAAGGCAATTTCAAGTTCATCTTCTCTTCAGACCCAAAGGCCAACAGCCTGGCTACTGGCAGAGGTTAATGCGGCAGGAAACTCACCCCCGGGGCAGGGGGTCCAGGGTGTTATCAGGGTGATTCCTAGTTCCCTTCATGCTAGGAGCCCGTTAGCTCTTCTTTTTTTTTGTTTTGTTGTTTTGTGTTTTTTTTTGGTGAGGAAGATCAGCCCTGAGCTAACATCCATGCCAATCCTCCTCTTTTTGCTGAGGAAGACCAGCCCTGTAGCTCTTCTAATGTATGGGGCAAGTCATCAATATTTCCAGTGGGAGCCAACTTCCAGTCTACCACGTTACCTTAGGTATTTTAGGAATTAAATTATTTCCCTCCCACATGGTGTTTAGGAATTGCGGTAGTGAAGCACTATCAAATTACACAAAGTCTTAAATTTACAGATAGTTTCTACAGTTAATTAAGTTAGTTCTTGGTGTCTGGAGATGGAGGCATTATCTTCCTTTGTCTAAAATCACTCAGGGAGCCCAGGAGATCATGGAAATGTGAACTCATCCTTTGCGACAGTTTATTCACTTATCTCCATGGAAATGAAAGAGCAAGGATAAAAAAGAGCCAAGGGGTCTTTCACACCTACAAGTATCTGGTCAGGCTCCACCTACAGGCATTTATTATTAACCCATCAATAGCAGACTACCAAAGGATGGAGAATTAGGAAGCAGAAATATCCAAGCATTTCTGGGGAATTTATGAACAAAACATTGCACATGAATTTTTCTGCAGTGTTTGGGCTCTTAAACTGTACCTGGCCCTGAGGATGCTGTGGATAGAGATGCAGGGAATGGACGCGCTGCTCTATCCACTCCTGTCTTTTCATAAATCTGCAAAAGGTGAATGATTTCCTGGCTGTAAGACAACATTAAAAATAATATACCAAAACCAACCGCAAAGGAAAAGAGCAGTTTTATTTCTGATCTTAATTGAAGACAAATGCAGCATATCATCAGCGAACCGCACAATGTGACAGTCATTCTCGAGGCAAGGATTGGGGATACAGCAGTGAAGAAAAAAGACAAAACTGCCCCCCTACATTCTAGTTCCTGGATCTTTCTCTCCTTTCCAGGTGACCCATTGACTGACATTCTCACGCGAGGCCTTCCTTTCCAAAGTCCACTGCCTATCTCCCAGTGATCTAAGTCATGAAAATAGAAAAGGTTTTCCTGCTGAGGATTCCCCCACCTCTACCTCACTCCCTTCCCCGCAAACCTTCATAGCCTCCAAACCTGCAGAGAGCAGCCCACCAGTGGCCCAGCCCTGAGGCAAGGAAAGGGCCTACCCCATAGGAGTGACTGCCCCGTCCTTTCCCCACCTGAGATGTGGAATGGGGTACGGAGAGTCTGCTGCTGCTGGGGATGGGGGTGGTGCTGGGTTAGAAAAGGGAAAAGTGGGATGTGGAGGGGGGTTCTACCTCCCTTGGCAGCAACCAACACTCCTTGTGTCCACAGCCCCAACCCCAGACTGCCCACCAAGGGAAAGCAATACCCCCTCCCACCAGGCAGGGCACCTGCATCCTGGACCCTAAAGGCTGAGTGCTGCCATAGCCCTGTCGCTGGGAGTTCACGCCCCAAGTCCCCAGAGACAGAAATGCACCTGCCGTACATTCAACCTAGGAAAAGACAAGTGCCGAAAAACTCTGTGCGCAGGAGTTGAAAGAGAACTTGGAGTCCATTCTGATTGGCCTCTGTTTACGGTCGAAGAAACACAAAATGGCAGCCCGAGGTCATGTAGTCATGTGTGAGTGGCAGCAGGGCCCAGTGTGGCACAGTTCTCTTCTCTCCTCTCTGAACAATATCCCCATCGATGGGGTGCAGCTCACTGGAACTTCCCAGACTACGCCATGACCCCCACCCCAGCACCTCGCTGGGGGACCTTGGGGGAGTGGGGGTGGTGCAGACAGGCAGGTGATGCAGGACCAGGGTGAAGGAGGCCATGGAAAGGGACTGCCCACCGAGGTGAGTGTTGCGGCAAATCCAGAGATGTTTGGGTTGCGTGGGGACGGGTGTGGAGGTAGCCGGGTGGCTTCAGGCCTGCGGGACAGCCCACCTGTGAGGGCTCTAAGATGTAACTGGGGTGGGCAAGACACCTTGGCCCTGGAGTCTCTCAGCAGCCTCCCTTAGACTATGTAGCCAACCTGGGGCGGCACTTCAACCTGCCCCGGGTTTATCTCCCCATAAAATAGGCCTTTTTCCTCCCCTCCTGCCCACCTCCTGGGTTAGAATGAGGATAAGAGTCGTTGTGAATGCCTTTTATCCCTGGCCAAGTTAATGCCTCTTTACCTGGCTGCTTTCTTGTCCCAGCCCACTTCCCTCTCCAGATCCAGAGGACCATAAACTCCCAAGTCTAGAGCTGAGCAGATCCTGTCTAGGGCAGCTCGTCTGGAGAAAAGCCGCCATTCACTACCAACTCGCACAGGCGATACATGTCAGTCTAATCTCCAAACGTGATCATTTCCCCAAACACAAAAACAACAGAGCCAGCTATGGATCTGCCATTTTGCCCGCCCCATGCTGAATGCCTTTAAAATTGCCTGAATAAAGATAAGAGAGGATTGTGTACGTTTTGTACACAAATGGTGGAAAGTAATAAAATAAACATCAAAGGTGAGCTCCCACGTACTCGCAGCTCTGTCACCATTTGCAACAAAGGCAGGAAAAAGGAGGGAACTTCAGCGCGGAAGAGCAGCGGGTTAGAAGTGCACCCTTCCAGGGGGCCAGGGCGCCCCCTCCCTGGAGTATTGACACCACGTAGGCGTCAGGCCCCGAACGTCCTGGGGAGGAGAAAGGCCCCTTCTTCCGGACCGTCAGACACCGGGGCCACTGAAACCACCGTATAAGTCCTCAAGGGAAGGACTGGAAAGAAACCCGGGAACACGCCCTCCCATCCTTCGTGCGGACGGTCGCGACCGCGAACACCCCGGCTCCGCTGGGTCGGCGTCTGGAGGCGCCCGCAGGGGCGCTTGCGCAGGCAGAGCCTGGCACCCCGCGCCAGACACAGTCGCCCCCGGGGAAGAGGGGCAGGAAAAGAAAAAGGTACAGGAAGACAAAACAAAAGTGAAAGTCGGAGGCCATTTAGCGAGCAAGAGTCAAGGTCATCCAAAAAGGCATATACAATTTCAAGTCCAGTCTTTTATTCATTAAAAAAGAAAAAATAAAGATAATCCTCAAAAGGAAATCATAAGAAGGGGCACAGCATGTGGCTCCCGTAGGAGGTCACTCACTGCACAGTGTGCCCTGCGCAGTCTCCGCTGTTCGGCACCTCGTCGGTGACAGAGGGGTTTGCTTTCCGAGGAAACACCGTTTTCACTACCAGAGAAGCAAATACACACCGCGTGTAACTTAGGAAGGCCGCAGGCCCGAGCAAAGTCCCTGCTGCCCTGGGGCCCGGTCCTTCCAGATGTCCCTTAGAGGCGTCCCCACACCATGCCCACTCGTCCAAATCGCCTCCTTGAGCTCCAGGGCGCAGACACCCCTCCCGGCGGCCGGGCCTAGCGCTCCCACCTGAGCGGAGGAGCGGGCGGGGCGAGCGCACACGCACTCTCAAACACGCGCACACCCCCAGCCTCGCGCACGCTCCCCATTCGCAGGAGGCGGAGGGCGGGGCAAGGCAGACCCAAAACAAACAACCTGCGCCGAGCGACTTTGCGGCCGCGCCGCCGCGTGGCCTCGGCCTGTGCACGTCCGCTGGGGAGCCGCGGCCACCTTGGCCACCTCGTTCCCCCACCCCTCTGCCGTCGGCGCCCAGGCCCCGCCCCCGCAGAGCCGCTGCAGGGTTATATTGGGCCGGCCGAAGGTGGAAGCGAGACGTAGCCGCGGCCGGCCAGCGCGGAGATGCTGCTCCGGAGGCCTGGGGCTGGAAGGCGGCTGCCGGCGCCACGGCCTCGGGGACTCGGCTCCGAGGGCGCTCAAGGCTGAAGGCGCCGGACCCTCCCCCAGGGGTGGCACGCACACCAGCCTGCACCCCCTCCATGCCCCGAGGACGCCTGCCCGGGACTTGGGGCCTCCAGTGAAGAATCCCTCCTAGTCTCGGGAACGGATAGCAGATGCGCACGCTTATTCCCTCCACCAGAAAATCCCAAGCCCCGTGCGCTTGGGCACCCGGGAGTGGAACCGCACCCCCGCACGCATTCACTGCGAAGTCTCTAATTCTCGAACTGAAGACAGCACCCACCCAACTCCTCACTCTCCGCTCCTCTTAGTTCACCCAATAAGCACAACTCTTCCAAAGAAAAAATCCAGCAGAAGAGGACTCTTCTAGGGAAAAGTGACTGTCCTCGCAAAAGGAGCAACTGCTCCCGGAGAGAAAGGCGAGGCTCCCAGCCGCCGGCACCAGCTTCCCAAGACCGTGCGAAGAAAAAGGGTACGGCGCCCGGCAGGGACGGGGGCGCGGGCATGAAGTTGGAGATGTTCGGCCCTCGCGCGGCCCACGGGGACAAGCCGGGTAGTGACCTGGAGGGCGCAGGCGGCAGCGACGCGCCATCTCCGCTGTCGGCAGCCGGCGACGACTCCCTGGGCTCGGACGGGGACTGTGCGGCCAACAGCCCGGCGGCGGGCGGCAACGCCAGGGAGCTGGCGGGCGGCGGCGAGCGGAGCGCGGGCGGCGGGCCAGGCGCCGAGGAGGAGGAGGGCCGGGCGGCGGCGGCGGCGGACACGGAGGCGTGCGCGGCGGGGGCCGGCGCAGGGAGCGCGGGGGGCGGCGAGGGCGTGCGCAGCAAGCCGTACACGCGGCGGCCCAAGCCACCGTACTCGTACATCGCGCTCATCGCCATGGCCATCCGCGACTCGGCGGGCGGGCGCCTGACGCTGGCCGAGATCAACGAGTACCTCATGGGCAAGTTCCCCTTCTTCCGCGGCAGCTACACGGGCTGGCGCAACTCCGTGCGCCACAACCTCTCGCTCAACGACTGCTTCGTCAAGGTGCTGCGCGACCCATCGCGGCCCTGGGGCAAGGACAACTACTGGATGCTCAACCCCAACAGCGAGTACACGTTCGCCGACGGGGTCTTCCGCCGCCGCCGCAAGCGCCTCAGCCACCGGACGGCGGTCCCCGCAGCGGGGCTCCGGCCCGAGGAGGTCGCGGCC